ATATATACATATATATGATGCCATGTTGAGCATTTCTCAACAGACATCCTGACTTTATGTATGAATTCACACAAAAGCAAACAAACAAGATGGAAAACATAAACAAGAGCTGAAATTCTACAAACAATTAGAGAAGAAATTGTGTGTCGGAGGTGAAATCAAGGAAGAAGTTGCACAAGAGTGAGGAGGTGGGTGGAGAGGAGTCAGAGGAGGCTGCAGGGGCAGAGCTGCGTCAAGCTACGCACAGTTACGTCATAACCGGAAGTCAGCTCCGTTTCTAAAATAAGACGACACGCGCGAAATGTTGAATTTACCGCGCTTGAAAGCCAAAAGATCTGACATCAGCTGATTCTCTTTCCTGTGTGTCTTTATTTTAACTTGGTGAAATAAATGAACTTTTTGTTGTTTTGTTATTTAAATCGAGGCCATCCTGTTCTTTTTGATTTACAAACAAGATACAATTCTTATTTAATTCTTTGAAAGTCATTTTATGACATGGTAATATGTTTTGTGTGTGTTATTACATCAAACATTTAAACTGCGAAGTATAAAACAGCTATCTGGATTTCTTTTCTTGTGTACAGTAATGGACATTAGAAAACAAACAAACAAACAAACAAATCTTTTGAGTCTCTCATTAGTTGTATGTGTCTCAGCTGTATTTTAGATTAATAAGATTGATCTCCATGCAGTCATTTATTTTTCTACTAGTCATTTACAAATACTCCAAAAAGAGTCATGGATGCAGAGTGAAAGAGTTACCACTAAGAAAGACATTTCTTCTTCTTCTTTGGTTTTATATTAGTTAAATAAGCCCATTCAGTAACCTCTAAATGTGCACTGCACTGACATGAAATGATGCAAAATATATTTTTATGGAGGAACGTAAGTGTGGACAGAAATCAAACTAGAGAAACAATGTTTCCTTCCAAAATGTCGTATAAATGTGCTGAATGACTTTTAAAAATGAACTGTTCAACTTAAAACAAAAGGAACTGAAGCTAAAATCACCAAAACTGAACGCTAAATTTAGCAAGACAGTAGCTAAAAGCTAAAAAGAACAGCTTCTACCCTGAAACTGTTAAGACTCATAAATCCCTAACCAGGATCATCACTGTAAGAAAAAAGAAAGAAACATCAATGTAATGCCACTTTAATTGGTGATATGTGATTTATTTGTGCTGCTGATTATCCATGCTGTTGATGTCATGCTGTTGCTTATCTTATGCTGCTGATTATCTTATGTTGCTCATTATCTTATGCTGCTGATTATCCATGCTGATGATTGCATGCTGTTGATTATCCATTCTGCTGACCTGAAGCTGCTGATTATCATGCTATGGATTATCTCATGCTGCTAATCTCATGCTGTTGATTAGCTACGTTGCTGATCTCATTCTGCTGTTCACATGTTGCTGATTATTCATTCTGCTGATCTCATGCTGCTGATTATCGTATGCTGTTGATTATCTGTGCTGCTAATCGCATGCTGCTGATTATGTCATGCTGCTGATTATTCATTCTGATTAGCTCATGCTGCTGATTATCCATTCTGCTGACCTCATGCTGCTGATTATCCATTCTGCTGACCTCATGCTGCAGATTATCATGCTACGGATTATCTCATGCTGCTGATTACCTAATTCTGCTGATTATCCATGTTGCTGATCTCATTCTGCTGATCATATGTTGCTGATTATTCATTCTGCTGATCTAATGCTGTTGATTATTTCATGATGCTGATTATTCATTCTGCTGATCTCATGCTGTTGATTATTTCATGCTGCTGATTATTCATTCTGCTGATCTCATGCTGTTGATTATCTCATGTTGCTATATTCATTCATACCCATACATTGCTGATTATTCATTCTGCTGATGTATTGCTGTTGATTATTTCATGCTGCTGATTATCCATGCTGCTGATTATTCATTCTGATGATCTCATGCTGTTGATTATCTCATGCTGCTGATTATCATGCTGCTGATTATTCATTCTGATGATCTCATGCTGTTGATTATCTCATGCTGCTGATGATCCATTCTGCTGATCTCATGCTGCTGATTATCCATGCTGCTGATTATCTCACGCTGCTATATTCATTCATACCCATCTGCTCACACAGACTCATGTTCGGGCTGCTGTTGTTTAGCATCATAAGTGTTTAGTGTATATCTTAGATCTTTTAGCGTATTAGATCCTTATTTGCTGTTTTCTTTTTATACTTTATATTTAGCTATTTTGGGGTGTAACTGGAACCCTGTGTGCATAATTTTGTTCCACCTCACGTACCACATGAACTATAAAGTTGAACTAAAAGTTAAAAGGACCGTAAGATGACAAAAACAGAGGAAGTATGCTGAGCTATATTTCAGAGGATAATGTTTTGGAAGAAATGAAAGAAATGTCAGTGCGTTTCTATCGGGGGAATTCCTGTGAACAAAGTTTAATAATTTAAAAAGTGTGAAAGATACAAATATTAAAAGTCAACATTATTCACGCTTCGATTCTGCAGTTAACCAAGCTTTTATTCTGAAAGCGCTAACAGGAAGTCGCTCGTTGTGTCTCGGCTCGGTCCACTCGGACTCAGAACCTCGCAGGAGGAGCGACAGGAGACGCGCAGACGGTGCAGCCGTCAACATCGGACAGTTCTTCGGAACCGCTCGGTGTCTGTTCGGACCTTTTTATTCCATTTAACCCCGCCGCCATGACACCGTGGTACCAGCGCGTGACGAGGAAAACGCTTTAACGGTCGAGGAGCGGAAGTGAAACACGGAGGGAAGTTGTTGGAAATTAAAATCCCTAAAAAAAAAAGTGATTTTATTCGGACAAGTTCGGTTGTAAAGTTTATCCCGGAGCATCAGAATCTCGGGGCATGGACACAAACGTGAAGGAGGGACAACTTTATGTGCAACACCAAAAGTTTGGCAAGGTAGGACTTTTACTTTCATGATGCTCAAATAACAATCCTGACAATAACAAGCTTATAGTGCAAATTAATCAGCTCCACGTCCATGTAGTGAGTTACACAACAAATCTGTATAAAAATGGTAAATATTCAACATAAACCTGCTGCAAGAGGACAAAGTCAGTTTTACTGTGTCAGGTCAATTTAAAATGGGTTCAGTAAAACAATAACAATAACAATATTGGATTAGAATCCAATAATAAACCAGTCTGACGTGCAAATACAGAGTGACCCAGACTCCTCCTGAACCTGCAGCAGCAGGAGAACTGAGAGCTGCTCTCATCACGCCTGGTTTTGTTTGTTGTGGCGCTTTGGAGCAGAAGCTGCACAGCTGTGTCCAGATGTTGCACACGAGGAGAACCTGGTTTTTGTTGTTTACGAGCGTACCCAAAAAGGTGCAGGAAAACTAATAAAACCGGACGTTCCCTATTAAAACAACAGCTCCATCACAGTTAAAGACGAGCAAAGAGGGTCTTTGTTTGGTCGTCTCTCTTGGTCATATGACACGAAACAAGTCTGCCCATGTTTCCTGTTCTACGATGCATATTCACACTCCCCGACAACGTCTCGTTGTGTTTTTATCGACTGAGAACAAACCAAAGTAAAGGACGTTGTCGTTTCGCAGATGTAACCCTGGAGGGGACACAAAAAAAGCCCAAGTGATGAAAGAAAATAGAACAGGAAGCCGAACACCAGCAGCTCTGAGAGTGTTGAAACTGGTTTGAGGTTTGTTGACAGGAATTATGCAATCGTTAGAACTGTCAGTGGACATATGCCTTCACACACACACACACACACACACACACACATATATATATATATATATATGGCTGGTTGCCATGAGCATGGTTGGAAAATGTGACATTGAGTGTGCAGCGGTAAGGTCTGACCCAAGTTTCTGTTTCAGAATGTCGATTTGTGAAGTTCTTACTGCAAGCTGTCAGGATGTGCTTCACACATCGAGCTGTTGGGCTGTAATAATAGACTGATGCGCTTCTTTTTTTATCACAACGTTTTCCACAGTCTTTCAAACATCAATTGAACTCTTTGCGAAACCAATAAAACTTTGAAAGGGCTAGTTCAGTTCTTTTGAAGGAACCAGTTGTAGTTGTTGATAGCTCTTTTAACAACCTCAGTTTGGAGAAATAGGGTTCAATTCTAAGCTAACAATTGGAGAAGAGCAGATTTCTACCATCTTAAATGTTTTTGCATTCATTTCTTTCTTGATAAAGAAACCCATAGTTATTTGCGAGCACAAATAGTGGCAGCAGCAGCTAGGCGTAGCACTCCCAGCAGGAATATTCTGTATTCTTTCAAACTTGCATTCATGTTAAAGTTTATAGAACAGCTTTCTTAGTTTTCATGTCTATAAATTACATTATCATCTGCATATGTTTGAATGTTACAACTAGAGCATACGGATGGAAGATCATTAACGTGTAGAGAAAATAGTAGTGGTCTGAGGATAGAGCCTTGTGGAACTTATGTCGACAACTTCATAGATGATTTTTGATTTTGTATACAGAGACTGAAACTGATTGGACAAATATGATTCAGTCCATTTAAGTGCACGTGAAGAATAATTAATAATTATCCATAAGCATGAACAGTGTCCTGTGCTTAGTTCAGGAAAGAAATCCGGCGCCAACAACATTTACTGTATCTGTTGGAGTTTCTTGTGGTCTGTAGAATGACAGTTATCGGTTTCAGTTGAACAGCTGGGCCTAATGCCAAACTGCTCAACAAAATGAGCCAGTTTCCAAGAGATGTGAGATCTGATTATTGTATTTTTTGCTGTATAGGTCGCAGTTTTTTTCATAAATTAACATGCGACTTATACAGCGAAGCAACATATTTTCGTATTTTTCCCCATATTTATAACTCAATTTCTGGCTGAGATCTGACGATTTCATTCATTCTGAAATGGAAAATATTGAACACTACCATTTCTAGCCACTAGAGGGCCCTTGACCTATATGGCAAGCCAAGTGTCTCATTAATAGGTAAAAGTGGCTATTAATGAGACACTTAGCTTGCCATAGAAAGCCACCTTTGTCTCACTCTGGAACTCCTGGAACAAACGTCCAGTCAGCTGCATTTCACCGTGCCGCCCAGGCGAAATGCAGCTGATTTGACATTTAAAGTGCATTTATTAAGGAAAAGTTAAACTGAGACACACCTTTTTTTATAATTTCGAGCAAACAAATAATTGTTTTTAAGTGTTATTCTTGTTAAACTCTTGACAGGGTCCTCCTGTGCACGCTCCATTTGGCAGCCAATCGGCACAACACCGGCCCACATTTCCGGGTTGTCATCGATGACACGTACCAAACGCGTCAGCGGTCACGCATAATAGATGCAACTTATACGGCATATTTATGTTTTTTTCCACTATTAGTAGACATATTTAGACTGATGCGACTTGTACGGCGGCAAGTACGGTAGCTACAAGTGTGTTTTAAGCAAAAAAAATTCAAATTTGTAAATATTTGATTTTTCTTCGAATGTTCAAACACGACCTTCACTCCTCAGTCTCGTAGCCTTCCTCCAGTATGGCTAAAAAATGTAGACCAACGTGCAGCAGTTCATGCTTCCCACATGGCGTGCTAATTTTGTCCTTTACTCATGCAGGACTAATTCAAATAGCACACGTCTGAGCACAACAACAAAGTGTTTAAAAGCAGAGACGGCAGCAACAAGCACTAACTTCAGCTGCCACTTTGGGGTTTAGGTAAACCAAAAGTCCTGCAGCCAAAAACCCTCTGATGAACCAGAGGCTTCAGGTGCAGAGACATGTGCTGCTGCTAACTCTGCTAGCAGGTATTACTATCGTTATTCACTGGTTCAAGTGGCTCAACATGGAGGTGGAGCTCACCCATGCCCACAGTTTCTACAAGATAATCAATCAATCAATCAACCTTTATTTATACAGGTAATTCCCATTGAGCCTCGAGGACTCATTTACAAGAGAGACCTGATTTCAACAAAGAAAGATGACAACAATGGACAACAGCAACAACCATAAACAGTTATAAAAAAAAAAAGCATACTACAGTTTTTTTATTTTTTTTTATTTTTTATAACAAATAGGATGGCTAAAAGGAAAAGGTAACAAAACAAAAAACAGCTAGATTCCAAGACAAATGTAGAAAACTAACAACAGGAACATGTCAGCATTGGACCCTGCCAGGAGTCCAACAGATTCTTAAAGACACTTAGAGAGGTCAAGGTCGAGAGCTTCAAATCTTTTTGTAAGATATTCCAGGAAACTGGAGCGGAGTAGGAGAAGGCCCTTTTGTCTAGTTCAGTCCTCACTGAGGGAACACTGCAGGTAATAATGTCCTGAGAGCGCACGCTGTAGCTGCACTCACGCAGAGACATGTAGGAGGAGATGTATGAAGGCAACAGACCAAGAAGTGATTTAAAGATGAAAATGTACCAGTGAGAGAGTCTGCGTGAAGTTAATGATGTCCAGTTAACCAGTGAATACTGGGTGCAGTGGTGGGTACGATAATCACAGCCAGTTATGAGTCTTAGTGCACCATGATAGACAGCATCCAACATCTGCAGAGTTCTTGTAGGAGCGTTCATGTAAATAATGTCACCATAATCAATGGAGGGAAGGAAAGTCACAGATACAAGGCGTTTTCTAGCATTCAGGGTTAGACAGGATCTGTTTCTGAAAAAGAAACCCAGTTTAACTTTCAATTTCTTTATCAAGTTTTCCACATGGAGCTTAAAAGAGAGATGTGAGTCCACCAAGATACCCAAATATTTATAGGAATCAACAAACTCAATGGGGACACCATTTGAGGATAGAATCGGAGGAAGAACTGCTGGGACCAACTTCCTATTTGAAAAAAGCTTCCCTTTGGTTTTGTCGGCATTTAGGACAAGTTTGAGGCAAAACAAATCAGTCTGGATGATGTTGAATGCAGATTTCAAAAGCTGGAAAGCCTTAGCAACTGTTGTAGCTCGACAATAAACAACTGTGTCATCAGCATAGAAATAAATGGATGCATTAGGGATGTTCTTACCTACATTATGTATATAGATTGTAAAGAGGGTGGGTCCTAAGACTGAGCCTTGTGGTACACCATTGTTGACTGTTAAATAACTGGAGGAAGTACCATTATGTTGAACACATTGCCTCCGGTCTGAAAGATAATTAGAGAACCAACCAATGGTGTGATCTGAGAAACCGATTTCTGAGAGTTTATGACACAAGATGTTCTGATCCACAGTGTCAAAAGCTTTAGACAGGTCTAAGAAAAGTGCAGCACAATAATCCTTAGCATCCAGTGCTTCAACTACGTCATTAAGAACCTTCAGTGAAGCAGTGGTTGTGCTGTGTTGTTTCCTGAAACCAGATTGATGTGGAGGTAAGATGTTAAATGAGTCCAGGTAATTTTTGATTTGAGAGTTTATCAGTTTTTCTAGAACCTTGGCTAAAATGCAGAGTAGCATAATCCTTTCAAAATAAACCTTTCTTTTTGTTTTTACGTAATATTTGTGGGGAGTAGTTTGAGAAATAAAAGCAAAATATTCACGTTACAAGAACTAATATATAAAAGTGTCTACTATCCACTCATATTAGCTCAAACCCGTCTGAACAGGAGTTGGTAAATACGGTAAATATTAGGCTGTTTAGTTGTAGTTTAGAGTTTTAAATTCATGACATATGTAATTATACCCCATCGACTGTTCTTTGTAAATGTAATTACAGTTTTACAAACTGTCACCTGGATTCGGTCTCTTTGCAGCAGAGCGGCGCGTTAAAAACACGATTTTAGCAGAAATTTGCGTCTGAACGCGCACCAGCTTGTCCGGTTGAACGCCCACGCTTTAATGTCGAAGATGTTCGGACGTGTTCACCTGGAGCTGTAGAAATCTTTCGGTCATGATTTTTTTCCAGCTGCCACTTCAGCAGAAGGGGAGTGTCACGTTAAACCAGAAATACGTTC